TCTCTCTCTCTCTCTCTCTCTCTCTCTCTCTCTCTCTCTCTCTCTCTCTCTCCCCCCCCCCACCAGCATTCTACATTGGTCATTGCGTATACTGCTAAGTATGAAATCTTGAAGGGGAAGTGTTGTTAACTCCTATTACTACCAGTGTTCGAACTCTGTTCAGCTCCCCATGCAGGGCACTTCCCTCGCTTAACAATCGTGATCAGTTTTAATCCCTGCACAAAATGCAAGTCGGGTAATGCACTTGCTCATTCATTCCACCGTTGGTCTTCAGGTCTTGTAATGCCATTCAAGTTGTCTACTCACTGGATACGGTGGATTGTGGTGGCTTGTACCTCTCTCGGCCTTTCGGCTAAAAATAGATCAAGTGTAGTATTTGTTCTGATCAGTGATCAGTTTAATTATCTGATACTAGGTGGTCCGCCGGGCCACAACGATATTTGAAGGAAAAGAAAGAAGATATCTGAGTGGATGGAACTCCTTTGGTCTCTGTTGGTCGGACAAAAGCACTGCTTTTGGTTGCAGTATGGTTCCAGCCTGTTCCAGTTTGGCTCCAGTTTGGTTCAAGTTGGGTTTTGCGTGTTTGGTTGTTCCCACTTCAGTCCCAGTTTTTTTTGGTCCAAGTTCTGTTCCAGTTTGGTAACAGTTCGGCTCTGGTTTGGTTTCACTTTGGTTCCGGTTTGGTTTCACTTTGGTTCCAGTTTGGTTCCAGTTCGGTTCGAGTTTGGCTAGATCCCGTTTGATCCCAGTTCGGTTCTAGTTTGGTCCCAGCTTGGTTCCAGTTTGCTCCCAGTTCGGTTCAAGTTTGGTTCCAGTTTGGTCCCAGTTCGGTTCCATTTGTGTTCCAGTTTTGTTCCTGTTTGGTTCCAGTTTTGTTCCAGTTGGTCCCAGCTTGGTTCCAGTTTGGCGTCAGATCGTTTCCAGTTTGATCCCAGTTCGGTTCCAGTCCGTTTCCAGTTTGGCTTCAGATCGGTTCCAGTTTGATCCTAGTTCGGTTCCAGTTTGGCTTCAGATCGGTTCCAGTTCGGTTGCAGTTTGGCTTCAGATCGGTTCTAGTCTGGGTCCAGTTTGGTCCCAGTTCCGTTCCATTTGTGTTCCAGTTCTGTTCTTGTTTGGTTCCAGTTTTGTTCCAGTTGGTCCCAGCTTGGTTCCAGTTTGGCGTCAGATCGGTTCCAGTTTGGCGTCAGATCGGTTCCAGTTTGATCCCAGTTGGGTTCCAGTTCGGTTCCAGTTCGGTTCCAGTTTGGCTTCAGATCGGTTCCGGTTTCAGTTTGGCTTCAGATCGGTTCCAGTTCGGTTCCAGTTTGGCTTCAGATCGGTTCCAGTTCGGTTCCAGTTTGGGTTCAGATCGGGTCTAGTTTGGGTCCAGTTTGGTCCCAGTTCGGTTCCATTTGTGTTCCTGTTCTGTTCTTGTTTGGTTCCAGTTTTGTTCCAGTTGGTCCCAGCTTGGTTCCCGTTTGGCGTCAGATCGGTTCCAGTTTGATCCCAGTTCGGTTCCAGTTCGGTTCCAGTTTGGCTTCAGATCGGTTTCAGTTTGATCCTAGTTCGGTTCCAGTTCGGTTCCAGTTTGGCTTCGGATCGGTTCCAGTTCGGTTCCAGTTTGGCTTCAGATCGGTTCCAGTTTGATCCCAGCTTGGTTCCATCTCGGTTCCAGATCGGTTCCAGTTCAGTTTCAGCTCAGTTGCCTGACGCGATAAGTTGGTTTTCTGACTTTTTCAATAGTTTGAAAGAGGTAAAGAGGTATAGGCTTTTGGCAGGATTTCGCTATGTGTTGGTAATGACGATGCCGATGGCTACAGGGGCAGGGCTCTCTCTGAGCTTTGACCACCCACTCCAACGGCCCCTGCACTGTCCATTTTTGTTGTCATCATAAGTACTGGCCCAAAAACATTTTTGGTGGGGACTCTGGGGGAAGGGTACCACAATTATTGTGGTACCTTTCCCCACCGAACCTCTATTGATGGAACCGATACTGGATGCCTGGTAGAGGTTTTTTGGTGGGGAAGGGTACCATAATTCTTTTTCCTCACACCGGCACTGTATATATTTTTTTTGGCTCGGGGAAATGCAACTTGGTTTGTTAAAATAGATCCGGATGGGGTGGTGGTATAAAGTCAGAGGCCCGTTGGGCCCCCTGAATTTGTAACTCGATTGAAATCTTCATTGTTGTTGTAAATTGCCTTGGGCACTGGGCCTGTTTATAATAAAAAAGACACCCTTGGGAAAGAAAAAGAAAGAAAGAAAGAAAGAAATAAAGAAAGAAAGAAGGAAAGAAAGAAAGAGAAAAATGAGAGGAGGTGTCGTATTCTTGTGTATGCAGGTAGTGAACTGGCTGAAGGAAGAGGGGTCATTGAAGGGCGTGACAGTGTGTGACGTAGGTTGCGGGACAGGCAGGTAGGTACAGCAGTATCTCTGTGTGGCAAGTGTCCCACACTCTGTCACATACATAAGAGCATCTACAACTTGAAAGAGAACACGACTGTGTGACAGTGTGTGACATAGGTTGCCGGATGTGGTTGATCCTCCACAACTTGAAAGAAAGCATGACTGTGCCGAACAGATTGTTTTGGCGGAATTTCACAGACTCATCAGGAGGTTGAACCCCGGCAGTCGTGCGGATATGTGTGTGCGCGTGCGTGCGTGTGTGCATTTGCGTGT